TACTTTAAAGTTGAAAATTACAATCCGGCGTCGGTTGTTGTTTCCTCCATGAAATGACGGTTCGGTGCTATATTGACTTCTTGTGTTCTACGGAGGGCCTTCAACCAATCATGGAAGCTGATGGAGTATATTCTCATATACCCTAGGGGCATCATAATCACCGGTATAAAGCATCACGGATTCATTCCGGAGTTAGCGAAAAGACCAAGTCCACAAATATGTCGACCCCGACCGACCAGGGTCAGGAACAAGCGCCGGGCAACGAAATAACTAAGGACCAAGAAGTTGCCCGACCCCGACCTCAACCCCCGAGGTCGGGAAAACACCAGACTCAGGAATCGACCGAACTCGACAAGTTATAAGCCCGACCTCGAGTCACCCGAGCTCGGCATCGGGTTTGACCCCGGAAGTCAAACACATGGTCAACGGAAGGCGAGCGTCAGGCAGTCAACTACCTCGAAAGCGGGAACAAAGGGGCGAGTCCTCTCATCACGAGCCCGAGCTACCAGACATCGACCTCGGTGATCCCCAAGGTCTGAGTGAAGCATCATGGACTTAGACAAAATCCGCAAGGACTTGCCTCGCAAGGAGACGCCGCCACGTCACTCTCAACATCAGGGAATATTCCAGTCACCCACGCTTAGCTACACGAGATTTTTGGCAACAATTCTGTTAGAAGGAGAATCAATCAGCCAGCTATTAAAGACTCTCTCTCCAATCAGCTTTACACGTGGCTGTTCCCCATCGAATTAGTCTGTCAGTTTGTTAGAATAGCTTTACACGTGTCCTTCTCTTATTAGATCAGCATCTTTTTGCTTGGGCACCAAGTATTGCCTGTTCTCCCTTAGTATAAATATCACCTTCCAGCTTGTGGAAAGGGATCGCTTTTTCAATACACTTACTGTTATTCTGCCGGATTGCATACCTGTACTTTCCTATCAGTTCACTGTCTCCTTTTAGTTGGATTCCGACCACTCCCGGTCCGATAATCCATCATGTTTTGGTGCTTTCATTGAGAGTTGAACTGTGAGCAGGTCAAATCCTCCCGATTCGCTTCAGATCTAAAGTAAGCTTTTCAGCAACTATGGTTGGAAAGAGAATTCTGAGAAGTCGACATGCCGCTGCCAACGTCACACAAGCGGAACCTTCACTGGAGGCTACCGCTACTTCTGGCGCCAGGAGGGCCGCCAGGGGAAAACAAGTCGCTGAAACTTCTGCTGATCTGCGTAATCAGATTCAGCGTGCTTCCGCAGATCTACGTCAAAAGCTCTCGCTTAATCGGCATGCAGCGGCAATGCCATCCGCACAGGTGATCCCACAATTCCAGAACCTTCTGATGGCGGATCCCTCTGCGGCGGTTGGCGCCCTCATCTCGGGATTGCAGAAGGTGGTCCCCACGCTGCAATCTCAGCCAGCAGCTATTGTGGCTCCTCATGCCACTAGGCCTATCTCTCCGGCGAATTCCAGATCCCGGTCTCTGAGAGTAGGCTCTATTGACGCCCCTTTGGTGGTGGAGAGACCAGCACATATGGTCTATCAATCCCCCCCCTCGCCAGAGGGCAACTCCGGGGATTAACTCTCCCCCGATCTGCCAGGTGGCTTCCGCAGCACCTGTGAACGCTATGCCCCTCGCACAGCAGACGTGAACTTCTCGTTCCGCTGCGGCACCACGAAGGATTGAGCCACCGCCACCTCCCACATTGCCGTCCAAATACACGGCACGCCGTGTTGACTACGGCCGCCATAATGATGAAGGTGTCTATGCTGTCACCATTGAGGACTCTTCACAGTCCCTCTCCCCGCAGGGGCAGCAACGGGACGACAACCCCAATCCCTGGATCGAAGTGGGAAGGCGTCCCATCTTCTCCAGATTGGGGGAAAGATCCATGGCGAATCAGCGCCTGTCTGTCAACATCCGGAGGATTAACCGGGCGAATTTCCCACTTCTCAACATTCCCCAGCAGCAACAGCTTGAGAGAAGGACTCCAGAGCGTGTACCCGCTTTGGAGAGGCTAGGGGGCAATCATTCCCCTAGATTCGCCCCCCCATACCACCAGCAGATGCCTTCTCCCCCAAGGCAACATCGCACTTCACCACTACGCCAACAACAACAGCTACCCCTGCGTCAGACAAGGCTCTCACTGCCAAGGCGGCAGGTTGGATCTCCACCGTGGCGCCAGCGCCAGATGGACCCCAGGGAGGAACGGATCCGCCTCCTGACTCAACAAGTCAATGAGCTGCGGGCTGCGGGAGTAACAACAGCACCACTGCCACCGCCCCAACAGACGACGCGTGATGCTCAACTGGAAGCGCTAGCGCTCCAGGTCCAACAACTCCAGGCCCAGGTCAACCAGGAGCCTACCACGGTGAGGGTAAGGACTGCTACCCCCTTTACCACACGGATCATGCAGGCCCCTATACCCCCAAAGTATAAGGGGCCCAACATTCAACTCTATGGGGGGTAAAACTGATCCCCAGGAGCATTACATTCGCTACCAATCCGGCATGTATATGCTGGGCGCTGGCGATGAGTACATCTGCCGTATGTTTCCCTCCACTTTAGAGGGGGGGGCATACGATTGGTTCAACGATCTCCCCGATGAGTCCATTGATTCATGGAGAGAGCTAGCTACACGCTTCCTCACCCATTTCGCCGCAAGGGCAAGGACGAAGAAACATTTCTCCTACCTGTTGTCTGTTAAGCAGGGCAGAGATGAGCCTTTGGGCAAATTTCTCGAACGGTGGAATGAAGAGACCTCCAAGGTCTATGGGGCTGATGACAACACCCGTCTAGCCATGTTGCAGGAGATCCTGTGGGCTGGTGGCTTCTCTAGGAGCCTTATCATTGATCCCCCGCGGGACTATCAACGGGCACTCCACACGAGTTACATTTGACTTGTCTGAACGCGAGTTACATATTTTTACACGTAAAGTTACATATTTTTACACATAGAGTTACATATTTATACACACGAGTTGCATTTGGCCTGACTAGACATGAGTTACATATTTTTACACGTAAAATTACATATTTTACATAGGTTAATATAATAGTTCGACAATATGTTAAAATTACATAGGCAATATTGGTCTCATTTGAAAGATCATGAAAAATAAAAAATGTTGATATAAATTTTATAAAAATCGGATCAAAAATTAAAAAGTTATTACCATTTTTAAAAAAAGTTTTGGGAGTGGGTGTACGGTGCTCACGGTGGGACGGTCGTACGGTATACGAACTCCCTGACAACCGCTATCTTGGGAACCAGACTCGGAATTAATCACCTCTAATGAAGCAATATAATTCGCTGATCCAAAAGTGGGAAACTTTAAGCCATAAACGGTCATCATATTCCTCTCATCCCCCACATCCAAAATCAACGTCTTACAAACAGGAACACAAAATAAAAAGCAAACCGCAAAGCAGAAATAACAATTTCTAAAACAACAAACAAAACAAAAAATAAAAAACTTCTGATTCAGCCAGAAAACTCGAATCGTCCCTCGGACCTGCGGCCATGGCGGCGGCTCGGGAGGAGGGCGCACTCGCCGTTCATCCGCCCTAAAAGCCAGTAGCAGTCCTACCACCTGAAACCCTGGACTGCTTTTCTCTATCGGAGTGTCTTTCGTATTGAAATCCAGATCTTCTTCCTCCGTTCCAATCGCCATGTTTTTGTATTTGTATACAGAACACTCCATTGACAGCACGAACCCCTACAACAAAACGAAGCTTTCGTGGACGCCGCCTTTGACAGACCATGCCGAATCTCTAACGCTCCTCCTTCCGCCGCTGACCTCCTCGACCGAAACAAAATTCCAACCAAAGTGAAGCCCCAAAGAGCTCGATAGAAAACCCGCACTCCAAACACAGCCACCGACGACGGCCTAAACCTCCTGGGCAGCTGGCGGCGGACAAAGACTTGGCGTTACTCGAAGGTAACCCTAGAGAGAGAAGAGAGAAAATCGTAACCGAGTCTATCGTCTGAAGGAGTTATAAATAAAGCAGTCTACATTAGGGCAGAGCACGGGTCGAGTTCGGGCGGGTCGGGTTCAAAAATGATAAACCCGTTCGGGTATCGGATTGATAATTTCAAACCCTACCATATCAAAAAATTTATCGGTTTTTTCAGGTTGAAGAAATTCGGGTTGCGGTCAGGTTGATTCGGGTTTCGGGTCCATTCGGATTTTAATTTATCATTGTTGAAATTGTGATTAATAAAATGGTCATTTTCATTTTCATTTACCCCAGTGCCGCAAAGGCTTCCACCTACGGTGGGGTAAGGGGGGTCGGATGTACGCAGTCTTCTTACCCCTGTACTAAAGCACAGAGAGTCTGTTTCTGGATGACCCATAGTGAAAATCGCGTCCAAAATTGCATGGATTGACTGCTTCTCCATAACAAAGAAGCGCATGCAGTTTAGTGAGTCATTTTGCTTTATTCCATCATAATCTCAAGCCAAAAAATAATGAATCTTTGGCTCCATTGCAAATGATGGAAAGTGATAAATAAAATGGTAATTGGTAAAAATACCATTCAAAGTTATACTAGTATATCATTCAAAGTAATAGTTGTATAAATACGATAATCGACATATTTGAACATGTAAAATAATAATATACGGTGATTGACATAATTGATATTGTGATAAATAAAATGATAATTGATCAAAATATCATTCAAAGTCATAACAATACAACATTCAAAGTTATAGTTGTACTAATACGGTAATTGGAATATTTGAACATGCATAATATGGTAATTGACATATAATAATTGAGATATTTGAACATGCATAATAATTTAAAGTAGTATATATACTATGCTAGTTCGGTTTTTCGGGCAGGTCAGATAGCATAATTGGTAACCCTACCCCCCCTACCCGCTTAAGTATCGAATTGCAAAAATCGGATCAGATTTGGGTATTTCGGGTCGGATTTACGACCCCAACAAAAAAATCGAATATATTCGATCGGTCAATCGGATATGGTCGGGTTTGCTCTCCCCCGTCTACCTAAGTGGTTGAGACAAAAAAAGGAGTATCGATCAACATAGCATAGCTATGTAAAAACCTTAAAAAACAAGATCACAAGCTCAAGAAGTTTTTATCGAGAACCCTTCCAATTTATTGATTTCCTCTCAAATTTGACATCTACGGCGAGGGATAAATAGGGTTGATTTCCCAGTCTCTCTCGACGCTCCTCCTTCCCTCCATCCAAGACCACGAATCTCTCTCCTTAAGCCCCTCAAAGCAAGCGCTAGATAATGCCAGCTTCATCAGGTGCCCTCCAATCTCGCATTTAATCAATCTTTTTCTTGCATATTATATTAATCATGCAAGTGTTGTAGATAGGCGTGTTTTGATTTGTTAAACTGACATTTGGTGCCCCGCAGAGGCGCGGTCCAAGTGGAAGAAAAGGAAGCCACTGATTTCTCGAAAGCCGAGGCCTCAGCAAGAAGACGAAGGGTTTGAGGACGAGGATGAGGAGGAAGAACAGGACCACCAGCAGCAGCAGGAAATTGATGAGGACCATCAAAACCCTAACCCTTCTATGGATCGGATCGCCTCTGCCAAGGAGAGTGAGCTGCTTGCGGAGGGCGGGGACAGAATCTCCGAGTTCCCTTTGGTCATCAGGCATGCCGTCAGGGCTCTCCATTCATCAGTGCTAGACATGGTTTCCTTGGAAATGGCCGCCCAAAGTGGAGAGAGCAGGAGCCAGGGTCAGACCAGGGTGGTTTTGGAGAATATTTCCTACGGGCAGCTTCAGGCAACCTCAGCTGTACCAGCGGATAGTCCGGCCTTGGGGCTGGATGAACCAGGAGGAGATGCAAGTGCAAGCGGCTCCTATGTCATTACACCTCCACATATAATGCCCGGCAGTGGTGTGATTAAGCGGTTTGGAAATGCTGGTCGCGTTCATGTTGTCCCAATGCATGCAGGTAGCTTACAATGAGCTTGGTTTGGTGTTTTTTTAGTCCTGACACCAAAAAGTTTGTCACTGCATTTTCTTCAAAAAGTTTTTATGATCAATTAGGAGTGTCACCTCTCCCTCTGGTTCCAATTAAGTAAGTCACGAGATAAAAACAAATAACCCAATGATGGCAACTAACACACTCCATATTTTTATTCCACCTATATTACCCTCTGTAATCGTCATTTACATATCACCTTTGTACTTATTCTATCATCATCTTTAATAATGGTAAAGAAAGAAAAACACATTAAACCTTTTGTCGGAATTGTGAAATAACTAATATCAAGAACCATCAGTTTCCTCTAGACTTTGACATGTATAAAGGACCAGAAGGAGTATACATGGTTTTTAAATACAGTATATAAATTTTAATCCTATACCTAAAAGCACTACACTGGAGAGAGAAAATTCTCCCGCCTAAGCATTCTCCGGGTAAAATCTAAAATGTAATTTCACTTTCCACAAAAAAAAAAAAATCACCATCCTCTTATCCTATACCTAAAAGCACTACACTGGAGAGAGAAAATTCTCCCGCCTAAGCATTCTCCTCCTAAAATTTAAAATGTAATTTCACTTTCCACAAAAAAAAATCACCATCCTCCTATCCTATACCTAAAAGCACTACACTAGAGAGAGAAAATTCTCTCCCGCCTAAGCATTCTCCGCCTAAAATCCTAAAATGTAATTACACTTTCCACACAAAAAATCATCTTCCTATAATCCTCAAATCCTAAAATGTAATTTCATCCTATACCTAAAAGCTCTACACTAGAGAGAGAAAATTCTCCCGCCTAAGCATTCTACGCCTAAAATCTAAAATATAATTTCACTTTTCTCCTATATACCTAAAACCACTACACTGGAGAGAGAAAATTCTCCTGTCTAAGCATTCTCCGCCTAAAATCTAAGATGTTATATCACTTTCAACAACAAAAACTCATCATCCTCCTATACCTAAAAGCAGTACACTGGAGAGAGAAAATTCTCACGTCTAAGCATTCTCCGTCTAAAATCTAAAATGTGATTTCACTTTCCGCAAAAAAATCATCATCCTCCTATCCCATACCTAAAAGCACTATATCGGATAGAGAAAATTTTCTCCCGCCTAAGCATTCTCTGCCTAAAATCCTAAAAAATAATTTCACTTCCCACAAAAAAACCTAAAAGCACTACACTGGAGAGAGATAATTCTCCCGCCTAAGCATTCTCCGTCTATCCTATACCTAAAATCACTACACTGGAGAGAGAAAATTCTACCGCCTAAGCATTTTCCGCCTAAAATCCTAAAATGTAATTTCACTTTCCACAGAAAAAAATCATAGTCGTCATCATCATCATCATATACCTAAAAGCACTACACTGGAGAGAAAAAATTCTCCCGCCTAAGCATTCTCCGCCTAAAATCCTAACATGTAATTTCACTTTCCGCAAAAAAATCATCCTATACCTAAACGCACTACACTGGAGCGAGAAAATTCTTCCGCCTAAGCATTCTTCGCTTAAAATCCTAAAATGTAATTACATTTTCCACAAAAAAATCATCATCCTATACCTAAAAACACTACACTCGAGAGAAAAAATTCTCCCGCCTAAGCATTCTCCGCCTAAAATCCTAAAATGTAATTTCACTTTTCGCCAAAACAAAAACATCCTATACCGAAAACCACTACACTGAAGAGAGAAAATTCTCCCGCCCAAGCATTCTTCGCCTAAAATCCTAAAATATAATTTCACTTTCCGCAAAAAAATCATCCTATACCTAAAAGCATTACGCTCGAGAGAGAAAATTCTCCCGCCTAAGCATTCTCCGCCTTATATATATATAAATATAAGAGGAACTTTTTAAGAGCATACAGAGCGCCACATAATCCCGCCATGTCATTATATGTAACAATTATTTACTTATTTTTATACATTTTGTTTTTATCAGATTCTATTTTTGATTGCATACTGATATGGAAACAAAAATCCTTATAAATCCTCCTTAATTAATTTGGTAAGCTTCAAATAAGTAAAATAATTTTTGGTTATCAAAGTGAAATTCTAATAACGTTTATTGATATGGAAACTAATTTATATTAGTTTACTACACCGAATTAAATAGAAACAAATATGCAAATTAGTTTACTTATTAATTTGACACCTATTAATAAATTAGTAAGCTTCAAATAAGTAAATAATTAAAAATGAAATTAAAAATTATAACCAACATAAAGTATATATATTTTCACAAGTAAATATGTTTAGCTGAGCCAAATAAGTAATTTTTTTGGTTGTTTCTCTATTTTACACCTAAAATTCAAATATGCCTTCACTTTTGAAATAGATTCCTAATCCAAATTAGAAAATCTTTATTGGTTTACGAATTCCTACTTTTATTTTAATAGAATGTTTTTAATTGGATTGATTTCAGTTCCAGATTAAATTAGATCGGATCAAACTTTAATAATTATAACAATAAGGCACATAAAAAACAGACATCTAATAGACCATATTAATTCATACCAAATCAAACCCGAAATTTTAATTCAATTAAGAACGTTCTTATTAATGAGTAAGCTGTAAGATCTAACAATTAAAAAATATAGTTTTTATTATTATTGGGTTCCTAACAATTAGGTTTACTTGAGATGCTTATGTAGAAGACCAATTTAACCTTTTTTTTCATATATTTTTTTCTTTGTTTCACAAATGGAATATATTTCACATATATTTTTCATGATTCAGAAGATTGCACCTATTTAACCAGAATTCAATCAATTTCAGCAAAATAAATTAATTCTATTTACTTTAGTATTATCAAACAGACTCTATATTAGACTAAGTTTATTTTTCTTTTAAATCATATTATATGTGATCCGATAGAAATTAAATTTCAAATTAGCTAAATTACATACTGCCCGTGCATCGCACGGGCATGAAAGCTAGTTACCAGTAAAAAATTAAATATTAAATAGAAAATCTACGTACAACAACAACAATAACCACTAAAAAATAGGAAAATCCGGATTTCGTAAACTAACATCCTCCTTTTCCACCATATGTTCATTACTCTCCAACACTCTCCTAGTTTCATCTCCCTTCTTATGCCTTCAATTTCTCGTCAGGTCTCCGACACACAAAGGTATACACATGAATTATTTGATTAATCACATGGTGAACATTTATATCCTTTATTATTCATGTAAATGTACCAACCCTAATTATTTCTACATTTTGTGAGGCTAGCACTTCGTTACCAACAGGTGTTTAGCTAATCCAAATTACTGTCTCGTCCGACTTTCACGGTGTATATCCATAAGAAACCAAATCTCGTTTACCCCTGGCACTATGTATTCCAGAACTATTGTGGAAGTTATTCGACAAGATGTTGATGGTTTTGTTTTCAAACTTCATTTTGCTGTATAGTGTCTGGACATGATGACTCATGGGGCATGTCTTCTGAATCACGAAACAGATAACATAGTTTTGAAGTATTCCTGATATGGTCACTCTTTATAGGATAGCAATTAGGCCTGCATTACTGTATGGCGTAGAGTGTTGGGCGGTGAAACAATGTCACATTCAAAAGATGAGTGTGGCAGAGATGCGCATGCTGCGTTGGATGTGTGGGCATACTACGAAGGACCGCGTGAGGAATGAGACAATCAGACAAAGGGTGAGAGTAGCACCTATTGAAGACAAGATGCGGGAGTCGCGCCTACGGTGGTTTGATCATGTGCGTAGAAGACCGAGTGATGCACCTGTTAGGCGAGTTGAGATGTGTGTAGAAGAGGCAGGGAAGAGAGGGAGAGGAAGATCCAAACAGAGACGTGGGTTAGGGGAGTTCGAAGTGATATGCTTCTTCTGGGGTTGGATGAGGGCATGACTTTGGAGAGAACTAAGTGGAGGGTGGGTATTCACGTGAAGGAGTGATCTTGATAATCTTTTTCCTCATCTTTTTTTTCCTAGTTTTTTTATCCTTATATATATATAAGCATTATTTGCAGCCTTTTTATTTTATCATTTTTATATATATTCATCTTTTTTTATATTATCTTTTCATAATAGCTTATCTTTTTATCTTTATTCCTTCTTTTCCTTTTGGTTGTGATATCATGTATCGATTCATGTTAGCCGACCCCAATATCTTTTGGGACTAAGGCTTGGATGTTGTTGTTGTTGTTGTTTGTATAGACACCGTTCATAAACTTCACATTAGAAAAACCTAAATGCAGAGAGAAGAATTACGTATAGAGGTAACAGATTGATTGAAACCTAAATTTGAAGTAACTTGGTAGGTTCCTAGAAGAAGTGGATAGAAGCATGGAACCCTTTATATTGGTTCTGGAATGTTTTCCTAGTTACAAGCTGATCTAGTTGGCACAGAGCAAGAGGAACTATGGTGGCACAGACAAACTGTTTTATGATGGCCAATATGAATTCGTGATTCAAAACCTGAGCCAATCGTCTTCTAAAGAATGTTAAGTTCAGGGACAGAAATTAAAATCAATTAATTGTGGACACATATCAATCACCAACATACTAATGTAAGGACTAAATATAGATATGTTTTTTGAATGGGTGGTGGCTTTCCAATTCCTGTAGCAATAACTTTTGATCTGTTTCGCAAAATAATAGATGAAAGAGGCGTACGCGATGTTTAGAGATATATTTAGCTGTATCCAGTCTAGGACAGTAGGACCCATGATCCAAGTCTCCAAGAGTACCAGTTTGGAAACAAGAGAACTAGAGAAGGACGAGTCCCTTCAGGAGTGACTCTCATTATCTCACAACTTTGATGTTGACTTTAAAACCTGCGAACTCTTCGCCTTTTGTTGCGGAGAGAGTTCAAAGACTATTTTTCTACCTTAAACTTAGCAAAATTAAAAAGTTTCCATGTATCGTCTAGCACTGCTCTCTGCCATGCGCAACTCTGTTGCAATAATTGCTATGTATAACATTCCTCTGACGATTACATCATCAGACTGTTTAGTTGTAGTATTGGGAGCATCCTTCTAGGGTAGTAGAGGAGGTAACTTGCGAGTGTCGCTGGAACTACTGTGTGGTATCTGGAACTATATTACTGCCAATAATATTTTTTTGATTATTTTCAAATGCTGGATAGAGTTTTCACAGAAAAGTACATAAAAGAATATTTCATTTCAGGCTAGTTAGTCTGTGAGTGTTACCCCAATTGGCTTATATTTACAAATCTACGTCATTATGCTCTGGTAAAACCTCCATATTTGCAACTTATTTCATAAAGTCAATCAAGTCGTTAACCCAGTATAGTCGTATAGGTTCAGAAATTACCTTTAGTAAATAAGGAGTTAGCATGTCTCCTCACCTTAACCCGTGTATTAAAAGCTCTACACATCGTTACTAATTATGTATGGAGAGCATCCTTGCATTTCTATCATTTCATAATCTGCACTCCATACTTAATTTTTATTTCTTAATCCTGCTATTTAACTCATTCTTTCGAAGATCACAATATTCTACCTTTCTACATATGCTAGTTTAAGTTTTCTTCAATTGGTTCTAAATGTATGCACAATGTTTCATTTGTTTCTTTTGCAAGCAGACTGGTTTTCCCCAAATAGTGTACACAGGTTGGAAAGGCAAGTGGTCCCACATTTTTTCTCTGGGAAATCAACTGATTATACACCAGAAAAATACATGGAATGCAGAAATCAAATTGTTGCAAATTATATGGAGAGTCCCGAAAAGTACCTATCTGTGGCTGATTGTCAGGAGATAGTTAATGGTGTTAGTGTTGAAGATATAACTAGAATTGTTCGGTTTCTTGATCATTGGGGAATAATCAATTACTGTGCTAATCGCCCTACACTCGAGTTGAATAAGGATGGGGCATGCTTATATGATGATGCAAACGGCGAACTATGTGTTCCTTCGGAAGCTTTGAAGTCTATTGATAGTTTGATCCGTTTTGACAAGCCTAAATGTCGGCTCAGGGCAAAATATGTTTATCCAGAGCTTGGTTGTAACCCTGATAATGAATCTGACATTGATAGTACTATCCGGGAGCAATTCTCTGAAAACAGGTGCAACTGCTGTTCACGGCCTGTTTCAGTTATGTACTATCAATCACAGAAGGAGGTATTGTACACATTTTTTACTCAAATTTCCCGACGGTTGTGTAAATTAGACCTCTTGTTGTGGTAAATTTTCTTCAACATTTTAAAAGTTATTTTTAGGGATAAATGATTTAAATACCCCAAACATTGGAGGGGTGTGAGATAAATATCCCAAACATGCATATGTAATATAAATACCCCAAACTTTATAAAATAAGTTATCTTAGCACCATGACCATATATGTTTTCTTTCACAAATGTAAATTTATAGTGTTAAATAAATAACTTAAATACACTAAGCATATTTCAGTTGGAAAATAATGTTGCCTCCGGTCTATATATATTTGCAACACTTTTAATTTTATACGTATTAGCAAAAAATGGCTTTGACCATTAACATATTTAATTGACTATTAGTATACAATTATAAAAGTCATATTTTACTATTTTATTTTTTAATTTTTTAATATTATTTTGTTTAGGAAAATTGTCTAATCCATTAGTAAATAAAATAAGCCAAAGTAGAGTGTCCGAATAACATAAAAATTAGCATAAAAGCTAAACTGTTTCAATTATAAAAAAACGAAGAAAGTCTTAGTACATTGTATGTGACCAGAAGTAATATTATTTATTTCACAAATGGAAGCTTAGAATGTTGACTTCATCATCATAAAGTCTTATTGTATTTTAAATATGTACTTAACACCACCACCACCACCACCATCATTACCCCGGTGCCGCAAAGGCTCTCACCTACGGTGGGGTAAGGGGAGGTCGGATGTACGCAACCTTACCCCTGTACTAAAGCACAGAGAGACCCATGATGAAAATCGCATCGAAAATTGCATGGACAGACGGCTGCTTCATAACAAAGAAGCGCAGATAATTGAGTGAGTCATTTTGCTTTACTCCATCATATTCCCAAGCTCAAAAAATAGTGAATTTTTGGCTCCATTGCAAATGTTGGAAAACATATGCTCATGGTGCTAAGATATGATAGAGACCTAAGAATATTATTAAGTCTTAATATTTTGTAATAAAAGGGGTGTAGGACTTATAACTAAGTGGAGGTGGGCTGGCCCATGAGTGAATGAATAAATAAGGTAGGCTGGGAATAGAAGAGAGGGGGTGGTTGGAATTATCGGGCTTGGGACTCGGGACTGGAGTCTGAAACGACTTAGGAATTGTATTCTTGTCTCTCGGTTAAACAATGAACTTTTGTTTTTGATCTTCATCGCCATTTTTGAGCTCAGAATTACTGTTGAATTACCGATACCCTAACATCGGTATCAGAGCACCGTTTCTGACACATATCCATGGTTGCGACGCGTAGAACGATGGAAGGAAAATTGGACAGTTTCGAACGCGAGCTGGAACATCATCGCGAAGAGTTGCGGCATGAGATGGCTGAGTTGCGCGCACTGTTGATAAAGCAGAACGACGGACATGAGCGAGGAAGGTCAAGAACCTCAACTCGCGACAAACGACATGACAGTCCAACACAATCATACTCCAGAGAGAACATGGAGCGGGAGAAGAATTGCGAAGGGGCCAGACGCACTAACGAAGAGTTACGCGAATTAATTCTGCAGAGGAATGAACGCCACTCAAGCGGAAGGTCCAAAACAACAAAGCGAAGCAAGAGACTGGACAGTAGTGAATCTTCTTCGTCTTCTTCAGAGCAATCGACGCCTGGAACCATGGAGAAGCGCTATGGTTTATGCGAAGAACATCGATGGTCAGAACTGTCCGCATCTGGTTTGCGCAAATTGGAACGAAACAGAGAGAAGGTGGGGAAGAATCGCGATGAAGCGCGGAAGACTAGCGATGATGGGTGGAAGACTCGCGATGAAGTCGGAGCTAGGTCAAAGACAGAGGAATTACCTCTATTCCACAAGGTTGAAGCGTACGCATGGATAGGGAGGATGGAAGGATATTTCCGAGTCCAAGCTATTGCAGAAAGATTTAAAGTAGACATTGCAGCAAAGGCAATGGGGGAAGCTGCAGATGGCTGGTTTCAATGGTGGGACTTTCAAAAGAGAGAAGATAGTTGGGAGGCTTTAAAAGAAGATTTGATTAGGGATTTTCCACCTAGACACCGGCAGAAGACAGGGAAGACAGCAAAACCAGAGTCATCGAGGTCTTCGCATATCTCTTCGCATCATTCTTCTCATAGCTCTTCGCATTACCATTCTAAAAAATGGTTGCAAGTAGAAAACCCCAACTCGCAATCACCAGATTCTTCACTATCAGGATTGATGAGTTCACAAGTTTCTCAACCTGCGAAAGAATTGCCCCAGTCAATAAATAAAACTGAGATGGAGCCAACGGAATCTGTAATCAAGAAACTGAATAAGAAGGACGAAACCGAGGAGCAAGGAGAGATTATCCAATGGCCAGAAAATTCATGCATTGGTAAAAAGAGACCTGGTACAGTGGCAATTAGTCCAAAGTGGGAAGAAGCAGGCACCTCTAATATGCAGCTGACTTCCATGAACAAAGAAGGAATCACAGCCCCTAAGACTTTCAGAGTGAGAGGGAAATTAACAAGTGGCAGAAGGACTAAAGATATTATCATTCTAATTGATTGTGGGGCTACTCACAATTTTTTATCTCAAAGGGTAGCTCAAACAGCAGGAGTATCTGTCCACCAGCTCCCAGAATATAAAAGGGAAATAGGAAATGGGGACCTAATCAGAAATGATGGGAGATGTGAAGCTGTTTCTATTAACATACAACAGACTAACATCATTCAAGACTTCTATGTCTTAGAATTGGGAGAAATAGAGATGGTTTTGGGATTAGAATGGTTATCTGGATTGGGAACTGTTGAATTTAATTTCAACCAGCTCACTATTAAGTGGAGGGAAAATGGAAGAGTCAGGAAGCTTCAGGGAGATGCCCATCTAAGCAGACACCAAGTTCCTCTCAAATCTATCACTGCAAAGATTCAAGCAAATGAAGAAGAATTCTGCTTGCTCAAATCTGCAATGATTGAAACGGAGATGGAAAAGGAGACAGCCAATCCATGGAAAAAGGAAGGGTTCAAAGAAATTGCTGATAGGTTCACTCTCGAATACCAGTGTAATACAATCCAAGTAGACCTGGACTTTATGAATCAAGCTGTGGAAAGGTTAAAGAGGTTGATTGAGCAAACAGTTGAGAAGCATGAGGAAAATTTTGGTAAGCGGGTTGTTGTTGCTCTCTATGAGGCAGCATGTTGTGCCCTGGCCTCCATAGAATATGAAAGGATCAAGTTTGTTCCTGGGAAGATGTTGATACAACTGGAGAGGCAGAGGCTGGGAGAAGTCTTAGGCACATGGAGTAGGTCGGGAGGCTGTGTACTGAGTTCTATCTTACCTTCCTCGGGTGCTGATTCGAAAACTGAGACTTACAGTCCCGAAGATGATTATGTGTTCTTCATGGGAGATTCTGTACGAGATCAGACTTTGGGAAGGGATGGAGATAACAACTGTGGCCAAAAGGATCACTATGTGGACACAGAGATTGAATGGAGATCAAAACGAAGAAAACTATACGAGCTGAAGTACTGGGAAGGCAGAGGAGCGAGGATAAAGCATAATGGCATAGCTATTTCTTACTCAGTCACTTCCCACCTTGAGGACAAGGTGTTTGTCAAAGGGGGAGTGATGATAGAGACCTAAGAATATTGTTAAGTCTTAATATTTTGTAATAAAAGGGGTGTAGGCCTTATAACTAAGTGGAGGTGGGCTGGCCCATGAGTGAATGAATAAATAAGGTAGGCTGGGAATAGAAGAGAGGTGGTGGTTGGAATTATCGGGCTTGGGACTCGGGACTGGAGTCTGAAACGACTTGGGAATTGTATTCTTGTCTCTCGGTTAAACAATGAACTTTTGTTTTTGATCTTCATCACCATTTTTGAGCTCAGAATTACTGTTGAATTACCGATACCCTAACAAGATAACTTTTGATAGGTATTTGGATAATAAAGACTAATAATAGAATAATAAAGATTGTTTGAGTTTTTAAGTAAGAGTTTTGGGCCTTTTAGTCTGGAGTTTGGGCCAGCTCTTTAGGATATAATTATTATAAATGTGGAAAGGAGGAGATAATAGGGCAGGCTGGTATTCAGTTAGAAGTGGCTGGGCTTTGGCTAGAGAGAGAAACTCCCGGTTTTCTTCTCTACATTGGTTGTTATTACCGTATCTTCCCTGTAATCTTTCTAGAGTATTGAGAATTCCTCAATCTCCATTGTTAATAATACTGAAGCTGTTTACCAAATTTTTAGTGTCTAACAACTTTTCATATAAAGTTCAGGGTATATATATTATACATGTAAGTTTGGGGTACTTACCTAACACTCCTCTAAAGTTTGGGGTATTTAAAATATTTTTCCATTATCATTACCATGTAAAGGATTTAAATGAAAATCCCACTAGGTCACAAATAAATGAAGCCACTTATTTTTGTTCCAGTCGTATGCCCTTGAGCTTTAATAACATTAAAGCACATCCAAATGTCGAGAGCATTTAATTTTCAGTTGCTAGAAGTTTATTTACTCCCTCCGTCCCGTTAGAAGGTTCCCGTCCACTATTCTCATGGTCTACTTAAATCATTTTTAATCTTTTACTTTATAAATCAAATTTTTGCCAAATTTACATTTTTTTATCAGGCTTTGTAGCGGTTTTAATGTAGTTTCTGAATATGTTAATTTTATTTACTAAAAATAAACAGATTGTGAACAGGGATTAAGTTGCTTTATCGACAGTCAAGCATCGTAAACCGTTCACGGGAACCTTCTAGCGGGACTGAGGGAGTTATATTTAGGATGTTTTTACTTGAACTGTAATTTATTGGTCTGTTCTGGTCTGGTCTGGTCTGTTTTAGTCTAGTCTGGTCTGTTTTAGTGTGGTCTGGTCTGAAATTTCATTTTTTATATTTTTTGCATAAAGATTTTATTTTTTATATATATTATAATCCATAAATAATTATATTTTATTCACTTATAATTAAAAAAATAATAGTAATAATAGTAATAATACTAATAATACTAATAATAATAACAATAACAATGATGATGATGATGATGATGGCGGAGGCGGCGAGGAGGAGGAGGAGGATGATGATGATGATGATGATGATGATGATGATGATGATGATGATAATAATAATAATAATAATAAAATATGGTCTGGTCTGGTCTGATTTTTTTTTTAATATTTTTTGCATAAATATTGTATTTTTTATATACATTATAATCCATACAACAACAACATCCAAGCCTTAGTCCCAAAAGATATTGGGGTCGGCTAACATGAATCGATACATGATATCACATATTCATATTTCGATTCATGTCATGTGATGTGACTAGGTGATACTGTTGGCCGTCACACGCCTACCACAACACCCTCCTCCTTTATCATGGCTTGGGACAGGCATAATCCATAAATAATTATATTTTATTCATTTATAATTAAAAATAATAATAGTAATAATAGTAATAATACTAATAATAATAACAATAACAATGATAATGATGATGATGATGATGATGATTATGATTATGATGATGATGATGATGATGATGACGATGACAACAATGATGATGATGATGATGATGATAATGATAATAATAATAATAATAAAATATGGTCTGGCCTGGTCTGAGACGAATTACAGTCCAAGTAAAAACAACCTTAGTGCTTGAGTACCACACTAACACGTATTGCTGAAGTAGTTTTTTAAATGCCGTTTCTTCCTTATGCTGACCTCAACATTTCTGAGCTATTATTAGCATCACTTATAAAGGAGTTAGTTTGGAATACTTCTGTCTAGCTTCTAAGTTGTAATTATACTGTAACTCACAAATAAGTGCAAAGCACAGATTTTTGCTACAGTTGTATACTTGTGTGCCCTTGAACTTTCAAGGGCACACGAGTATGCCCTTGTATGTAAAGCACATCCAAAAGGCGATGGCATTTACTTTGCAGAACAAGCAGTTTTTTAATACTTAATTCTTGAGTACTACAGATTGTGCATGTAATTTTTTAAATACCGTTTCATCTGATTTCTGATTGATTGTTTTCTATTTTTTGGCATATCATTTTTTAAATCTCCTATACATACATATATAACCCTTGAGTAGTTGAGTATCCACCCTTCATAAAAAATTGGCCCATAAAATCCATTAAAAAATTAATGATGAAGGCCTTTTGTAATATGCCTTAAAGCTATATTTGGCCATGCGGCTTCAACTATTTTATTGAGCATGTCGAACGGAAGTTATAACATATAGGAATTGCTGCTTTAATAATATCAGTATGTCACACAGAAAATCTATCTAGTACTTTCTACTCACCATGAAATATTTGATCCACGGACAGTGCTGCACTATGTCCTGCGACTCATTAAGAAGTCAAGTTAAAATGGTCAAGTCCCGTATTTGAGTATTGCCTTGTTTTCAAAATGAGGTAGCAACCCATAAGCTGTTCATAGTTTGTAAGTTGTAATTCATATTGATGCTGCTGATTTATTCAAAGTTTTTTGAATTCCTGGTTACCACACACAGTAATGTTAACTTTCATCTATTCTTGTATGACTTGATATGGGTGAAGTTACATTTTTGAATTTCGATACATTCGCTCCTTGGTAAGATGTAAAGGAATCTAAAGTCACATTGCACTCATTCTGTGTTCAAACTTTCTTCACAAATTAATTCCGCTTCCCCCAAACAGACAACCTCATTGCACTGACTTAATGAGTGCCATGCTTCAAATTCACTCAACTTTTGTCTTGTTTATATGGTCATTTGAAGGGAACTCTCAATTTGCTTATATTTTTATGGTGCATAACTTGACTTTCTTTTGTGCACTTACCATGTATTTTAGCTTCAGTTAATTTGTTAGGGTTCATTTATGCCAATCCAGCTGGAATAATTATGTGTGTATTCCACATGAGCTCATGTATCAATCTCTAAGCATGGGTAGGTCTTGTGCTAATGATGATGATAGGCACACAAATATAAAGAGTACCACTTAATTTCTCTAACTCATATTGTTCTATTATTTTGGGAGTCCCTTTTTCGGAGCACCATCACCAGTATGAGTGAATATCTTATCGGTCAAAACTTTTGCTTATTAGCATATGGCTATATTCATATTCCATAGCATGTCTAATGTCTTTGACAGGCCGAGGTGCTAATGTGTTTGGATTGCTTCCATGAGGGAAGATTTGTTATTGGACACTCTAGCCTGGATTTTGTCAAGGTCAGCTCTATGAAAGATTATGGAGATCAGGATGGAGAAACTTGGACTGACCAAGAAACACTGCTGCTTCTGGAGGGGGTGCAACTCTATAATGAAAAATGGGTCCAAATTGCAGAACATGTTGGTTCTAAGTCTAAAGCGCAGTGCATTCTCCAATTTGTTCGCCTACCTCTTGATGGCATGCAACTTGATAATATTGAGGTTCCAAGCACATCTAGATCCTTAGGTTCTTGCCCTGGGGAAGATAACCAAGAATCCCATTCCTACTCAAATGTCAATAATACAGGTAATGTTGGTAATGTTGTTTTAGTTTAAGAAGCATCTAATAACTCAAAAAATAAAAAACATCTTATATATAGTTTACTTTTTTTAAGGGAAAACTATCAATTTGGTCTTTGTACTATCATGGAAACGTCAATTAAGTTCTCGTACTTTTAAAAAAATCAATCAAATCCCCAAACTTTGAAAAAACGTTTAATTGAGTCCATTAGCAGGTTACCCGCCACGTCAGCAAGTCACCTGTGGTCCTGGCACCCATGTGGCAGCCCAGTCAACAGTGACTTTGCTGACATTAGGCACACGTGGAAGCCAAGTCAACCATTTCCCGATGACGTGGCACACAGGTGGACTGTCACGTGTGCACCACATTAGCGGGTGCCTGATGACATGGTAGGTAGCCTGCTAAGTGACTCAATTGAGCGTTTTTTCAAAGTTCAGGGATTTGATTGTTTTTTAGAAATATGAGGACATTGATTGATGTTTTCGTGATAGTACGAGGATCAAATTGACAGTTTCCCCTTTTTTTAATATCCTGATGTAGGGTCAAGTTTGCAAGGTCTTGATTCTGATGACAAATTTCCTTTTGCACATTGTGGAAACCCAATCATGGCCCTGGTAAGCACAAATATTAATATAATCAGTTGCTTAGTGAATACTTATAAGTTCCCCTATGTTTTTTTTGTGTGTAGTCACGGGCCATTTTTGGCAAGTAACTACACCTGGTGACAAATTTGGTGCTGCTTCTTCTTGCCCTAAAATGAGCTTGTTTTTCTGTATAAAGATGGGGAGAGGGTAGCATTGAAGTCACCAATCAAAAGCTCTCTTGACTAATTGATCAGTATAATCATCATTTGTAAATTTTTCTTTCAGTGATTAAGGAGTCATTTTTAATTCCATAGCTTTTTGTTGTATTCTAGGATGGAGTCATTTTTAATTCCATAGCTTTTTGTTGTGCTAATAGTGATATTGCATTTTTGTTGTGAGAATTCTTGTTAGTTGTTACAATACTCCTGTTTATTTTTACTCGCTTCCCTTTCCTTCTATGGAAGTTTATTAGTTGCCCCACTAAGCCTTTTTGGCATCCCAATGTATCAAAGTATATAAATGCTTTACATTTTAATATCCTCTTTCCTACTTTTCTTTCATACTCCCCCCAACTTTTTCGCGTTTCTACATGATTTAAAACTCTCTTAATTTTATTCTTAAACCTCTGAAAAACCTAATGGAGCAAGTAAAAATAAATGTAGGGAATATGGATTGGAAAAATGTTTACAGGATTGCTAGTCCTGGATTTTGCTTGGGGAGCTATTGACGATTGCTGCCAAAATCGATTGTGGGACAAAAGATTTACTTAGACCTTACTCTCTATTGCCAAATACAGGTTGCCTTTCTGGCATCTGCAGTAGGACCAAGAGTTGCTGCATCGTGTGCCCATGCATCTTTGGCAGCTTTATCCGATGATGATAACTTAATTGAACCTGCAAATAGTGGTCAAGTTGATGGGTCTAGATCAAATAATGGGTACATATCATGTCTTCTTTTCTTTCATCCAGTGTTGAGGGGATCAAGAGAATAGGTCATTATGCACTTCTCACATTTTGTTAGAGTTGTGATAATATTCAGTTTCATTGCATGTATTATGATCTATGCGTTGATGTCTTCCTAAGTCCATGAGCTGCTACTTTTTAGTTGCAAGCAGTGACTATGTGGGTGTGGAAAGGGCTCATCACCACCTTAATCCTAATAATGTTGGGGTTGTTGGGTGAAGTGCCAAATAATTATTTAAAACTAGATAGCACTTTGAAACCATGCACAAATGTAGTGCCATATTTTCACGCCAGATGCCATTCTTGTTGCAATCTTCTCACAACACAAGTGGCTTTAAAAAAGCTCTTATTTGTGAATTTTGTTGTTAATCTTTTCATAGTGTAAAGTTTCAAAATGTGATTTTATATACTGGTATATAGTTTTTACTAGTAGGCACTTCAAATTATAATACTCAGAGTTGTGCATGGGAAATCGTGAAAGTCAAACAAGTACAACTAGACAAGAACAAATGAAGTGTGCGTATTAAATGTTTGTTTCTCACTTTCTCATGGTTTGCATGCATCTAGTTTTTTTCCTAAACTCATTTAATGTATGATCACTCTTTCAATAACATTAAGAGATCTTTGGTTTGAATATCCAGAGTAACGGTAGGAACAATGCATGGTAGGGAAGGCAATTCTTGTGGAGACTTGTCAAACGCCAATCAGTGCAAAGGCAAAGGTAAGTTGTCACCTAATGTAATACTACCCCCGTCCCTTTCTATTTAGCCATCTTTGATTTTTCTAGTAAAAATAATGAACATTGACCAATTATTTTAACAAATATGTTTATATAAAATTTAATAATTTTATACTTTTATGATAATATTTTTGACAGAAAACATTTTGATATCATTCGCATATTATCAATACTTATGTGTATAAATATATAATCGGTCAAAGTTGGACACCGTTGACTTGAAAAGTCAAAGTTGGCTAAATAAAAAGGGACGGAGCGAGCAATAAATAATTCAACACGCTCCCTCCGCTCAAATTGGGTTGAACAACATGAGAGTGGATAAATGGCTCAATACACCATACTAAATGGGCTACCCTATATCATGAATGGCTCACAGACTATCAAATCACATCACAACAGGACTTGATTCTAATATCACCTTGATAGGAGTAGCCTATAGTCTTATATACTCTGTCCCATAGTTGTCAATGGCGAGACATGGCGCACGCCATATGCGTCATCGTCATGAAAAAATGGTCGTTGTCATCGCGCCATATGCACCATTACCATGCGTCATGAAAAATGCCTTTGTGCCATGGCGATAGCCATGCACCTTGACAAGCTTGCTCTGCCCTACAAAATTTGGTCAAATTTCCTTTTTTAGCCATCCCATAAAACTTTTTCATTTCCATTTAAAATAACAAATATATGGTTAAAGTAGTTTCTCTCTCCTCCGCCCAAATCTCAACTACACATTTTTTACTTTATTATTCCGCGTGAAAGTCAAAGTTGGCCAAGTTTTGTGGGACGGAGGGAGTATAAGTTTACTGCTTCATACAAATCCGTTGTGAGACAAATACTTCAACCCTCCCTGTTCAGGTCTAAAATTTGAACCTTTTTACCCTTCACACGGGCACCAAATGTTGCTTGTACTAGCTTGACACATAATATTAGTATATTTCCACCATCCAAAACAATATACAGGGCTGCAAATATAAACGGAATTTAATATATGATTTTATATATCAAGCTTATGTCATGCATGCATTCAATTTTTGTGATGCGATATTACTTTACTTTACTTTTGTAAATATGTAAAATTTAATTATTTATACTAATTCAAATATTAGCATGGGATACATAACTTTAATGTGGCTTAAGCTTCATTAACTAATGACAACTTTGTGAGGAGTAAAAATTAAGTAATTAACCATAAACTAGTTCATTACTGTTTACTATACATTGATAGTAGCAGCGGTAATATCAATGACATTTGATTTTTTAGTTTGTCATTGTTATATTCAAAGTCAATCCAAAACAATGTCATTTAAATTGTTTATCAAAACAAAATTGAAAATCAAAGCGGTGCTTTTTGGGGATTGGTTTTAAAGAATGATGATGTTTCTTCTTGTACGTGATAATGTTTCTTCTCAGCGGCGTCTTCATCATTCAAGTCACAGTTATCTAAGAACTAATACTATTAACCATATCAGTTCACTAGGTACTAATATTGTGCTTTGAGGCCGGAAGCAGTTCTACGAAATTCAAGTCTAACATGCATTTAAGATCTAATACTAGTACTAGTCAACTGTATCAGAAATGGGGTACCGGCCTTTTACCCAAGTACTAATGCTATTCTTTTGAGCGGTAGCGGGGGTGTTTGCTCTCTGATGGCCCTAGATACTCTCTCTCTCTCTCTATATATATATATATACATACATATATATATATATATATATATATATATAGAGAGTAACGATCCTGTCAGGCCGGCTTGACAGGACTCGCCGTCCGGCCAAGGGCATTTGGGGACCTTCCCGGTCGAATTTATCCATACCAAATTTCAGCTAAAAATTCATATCGAAAAGGCAGTCAAATAAAATGTTGAAACAAACTGCGCAGCCAAATATATATTTGGCTGCGCAGTTTGTTTCAACATTTTATTTGACACACACACACATATATATATAACACAGTTTTTCCAAACAATTTTTTTAAATGTCTTCCCGATTAAATTTTTAGCTGAAATTTGGTATGAATAAACTAGACTTGATGAAGAACATGCTTAAAAAATTTCACCCAAAAATTCTACCGGAAAGGGCCCCAAATCAAATTTTTATGGCATGTTCTTTATCAAGTCAGTTCGTCAAGTCAAATGATTTTTGAAAGATAACTGCGCCGGAATATACATATAAAACGCAGTTAACTTCCAAAAATCATTTGACGGCCTTCCTGGTTGCTTTTTTAGCTGATTTTTTTTGTGGATAAACTAGGCTTGATGAAGAACATGCCATAAAAATTTCATCAAAAAATTCCACCGGAAAGGTGGCCAAACGCCTCTGTCCGGACGGCGTTTCCTGTCCGGAATTATGTATGTGAATGTGTGTAATATTCTACTAAAAATTGGGAGTGCATGGCCGATAGTATCAACTTGATGCAGGAACTGCACCTTTACTCAATGTAAAAGTCAAAGCTGCTGCCAAGTTTGGCCTTGCTGCAGCATCTCTGAAGGCTAAGCTTTTTGCCGATCATGAAGAACGCGAGATTCAAAGACTGTCTGCTAATATTGTAAATCATCAGGTACGTTATTTTTTTTATTTATTTATTTATTTATTTATTTATTTATTTATTTATTTATGTATGTATGTATGTATGTATGTATGTATGTATGTATGTATGTATGTATGTATGTATTTATTTACTTACTTATTAATTAATTAATTTATTTATTTATTTATTTATTTATTTATTGAATTGATTAAAAAATTTGTTGTATCCATTGCAATTAGTTGGTGTCTTTCAATTCATTTTTTGTGTGGGCAAATTGTTTTATTGAGTTAATCGTGGACTAATCCTGTAGATTGCCTTTAGGAAATATAATTACCAGGCCTATTATAATGAGTAGAGGGAAGGGAGATAATACATAAGTGGCTTCAAAACTAGAGAGCTTGCCCTTGTCGTGAAAGATGCTTGTATTCTTTAGCAGCATTCTACATCTGTACTGGGCCTTTCATGTTTTTGGTCGACCAATGGTTTGCTTAAGATATTATGCTAAAGCAGATAATTTCATGTACAAGTAACTAAGAAACCCATGCTCAACCAAAAAAGATTCTTATGAGAAACCAACAAGTGAATCAATCGATTTTGTCAGATTATGAATATGCTCTGCTTAAACTATAGTTGAGAAGCGCTAGAGGTAGAGGTAGAAGTAGTATGCCTGTGTATAGTTATACAATAATTAATTTTGTTGGAATTGTTTCTGGTAAAAATGATTTTTTTTTGTTTTCATGTTATTCACTAAACAGACTCTATTTGGCCTATGACCCTGGATGGCAGATTTACTTTTGCATTATCTTTTGACTTTATGCTTTCGCTTTCAGTTAAAGAGATTGGAGCTAAAGCTGAAGCAGTTTGCTGAAGTTGAGACATTGTTGATGAGGGAATGTGAACAGATAGAAAGGACAAGACAACGGATTGCTGTGGAGCGCAATATATTGATTTCACAATTTGGATCACCTATGGCGTCCCGTCCTATGGGTCTATCAGGTGTTGGGACATCAATGATGAAAAACAACAATGTGAGCACCAGGCAACCTGTTGTTACAGGTTCTCAACAACCACCACCTCCTTTCATTTCCGGTTATGGCAATAACCAACCAATCCATCCCCATATGCCGTACATGCCACAACAAGGGATGTATGGGCTTGGGCCGCGGTTGCCACTTTCAGCTATACACCCATCCCCTTCACCTCCTAATGCTAATGTCATGTTCAGCGCCTCATCTAATTCCCAGCCAGCAGTCCTCGGCCATTCTATGCTTAGACCCGCATCTGTGAGTAAACCTGGCTTAGGCTAACTTACCATAAGTGGCTAGGCACTGGCATTTCATGGGATGGTTTATAACAATTGTTACCCTTCGAGCTATGATTGGGCTTGATGAAGTTGGGGGCTACAGTGGCTTGCATGTTTTTCGCCAACTTAGTATATTGCTGTGGGACTTGATACGTTTTATGTATTGATGAGTAGTAGTTTTGTATGGCAACTGCATGCCAAGTCTCTTGTAATTTGTCCACACATCCAGTGAGTTTACTCTACAACTAGGTAAAACTAGATTTTGTGTTAAGCTGTACAGGTAAATTAATAGAGGAAATTAAAGCTGAAAATAGAGTTTCTTTGTCGTGCACATGCTCGACAGAAATTTGATGATATAAGTTAATGCCTTTAGGCTTTGATTATTATTCTATAGGAAATTGAGATTATTGTATAAGCCAATAGCCTAATACTATACACATGTTGGTGGCTTTCAATAATACTACGTATATGGTTGGGTGGGGACGACTGCGAGAAGGTGATTATAATCTCTTGTAAAACATTGAAGCATGGGCTAAATTTGGAATAAGTCAAGTGTTTGCCTGCTTTGGCAGAAAGGTGTGATTAGATTGTAGTGTAGGACATGGTCCGGTTCCAGTACTGGCGTGTGGGGAATCGTAACTGGTAAACCGACAACTGATTCTGGGACGGGAATGCGGTTGGTGACTGGTGATATACATAACATGTTGATTTTGCTTAGCACGAACTGAGAATGGATTGATCGTTTTCTATCCTGAAGGGCTTTTCCCACTTTTCTTTTTAGAGAAATTTACCTAAATAGGACTAAAACTTATGAAAAAATCCACCGTAGGACAATCACTTTTCTGTTTAACACCATAGGACTAAAATATAGATGGAATACCAAAACTGCCCTGCAAAGCTACCTTTCTTCCGTTCGTGACTTATGAAGGTTGCGCTGAAGCCTGAAGGATGTTTCTGCATCACGTCTGCAACTTCCCCAGATAAGTTTCTTCTTCTTCTTTAATGCTTCTATATTTTCTTTCTTCCACTTTTACTCTTTTCTTCTCTTTTGGATATTCATTTTTTTTTATAAATTCCATCTAATTCACTTTAAATCGTTCATACTATTTTTCTCACCAATTGGACCTGAAAATGGCATAATTGCTATGTTATTCAACACTGATTTGAAAAAAATGTCACTGTCTTGACATTACATTTACCAGGATGACAGTTTTTATTTGACATTTCTAAAGAGTAAAAATGACACCAACTTGACATTCTCCACGACTGTCATGTTTTTATATATGGAAATGTCATCTCCATGACATTTTGAGAACAAAGATGACATTTTTTACAAAACAGAGTAAGAAGAAGAAGAAATCAGATGAGGAAGTGGAATCTGGGAGGTAATGTTCGAATGTGAAGAGGATGAGAGAAAAGGAAAGAGAGGCAGAGAACATAAGGGGAGTAGCAGAACTGGAGTTCTGGACTGGACGTCGTAGAGAAGGATCAATTGTTGAAGTGCAGGAAAAGATGATTGCTATTGGAATTGCAGGGGAGATGATTGATTTTAGGTTGCAGGATAAGAGGATTGATGTTGGAGTTGCAGGAGAAGAGCATGGCGCAGAAGAAGAAGGAGATCGTCGCTGGAGGCGGAGAAAAGGATACACACAGGAACATTTTAGACTTTGTGGAAAACGTAAAAACTGATAATAGGAGCGGATGACTCCTATATGAATGATAAAACATATTAAGTCCTAATTTGAGTTTTTATCTATGTTTTAGTCTTATTTAGGACAATTACTTTTCTTTTTATTTGCAACGCAGCAACGGTCATCTAATTTAAAATTTTTTACCGGTGTTTTCCTGACTTCCCAAACGAAACTGTAGCATGGGCTTTGGAATTGGAGTTTTGCGCTAAGGTTTAGTACTGGTGCTAGGCATGGACTTGGACCTGTATCCGGTCCTGGACCGGCTGGTCCTGGTTTTAAATATGGAGGATCGGAACCAACTTGGGTTACTATGTACCCGGTTCTGGTTCGGTCTACTCGGCCGGCCCTGGTCCGATCTGGGTCTGGTTCGGGTCCGGCCTTGATCCGGTCCGGCCTGATCCTTATTTTTTTTACAATTATCGGAGAATAAAAAAATGATTTATATTTATTATAAACACTATATTGTCACTTGTATCAATATGACATTTGAAAATTACAATTGTGAATACTTTAAAGTTGAAAATTACAATCCGGCGTCGGTTGTTGTTTCCTCCATGAAATGACGGTTCGGTGCTATATTGACTTCTTGTGTTCTACGGAGGGCCTTCAACCAATCATGGAAGCTGATGGAGTATATTCTCATATACCCTAGGGGCATCATAATCACCGGTATAAAGCATCACGGATTCGTTCCGGAGTTAGCGAAAAGACCAAGTCCACAAATATGTCGACCCCGACCGACCAGGGTCAGGAACAAGCGCCGGGCAACGAAATAACTAAGGACCAAGAAGTTGCCCGACCCCGACCTCAACCCCCGAGGTCGGGAAAACACCAGACTCAGGAATCGACCGAACTCGACAAGTTATAAGCCCGACCTCGAGTCACCCGAGCTCGGCATCGGGTTTGACCCCGGAAGTCAAACACATGGTCAACGGAAGGCGAGCGTCAGGCAGTCAACTACCTCGAAAGCGGGAACAAAGGGGCGAGTCCTCTCATCACGAGCCCGAGCTACCAGACATCGACCTCGGTGATCCCCAAGGTCTGAGTGAAGCATCATGGACTTAGACAAAATCCGCAAGGACTTACCTCGCAAGGAGACGCCGCCACGTCACTCTCAACATCAGGGAATATTCCAGTCACCCACGCTTAGCTACACGAGATTTTTGGCAACAATTCTGTTAGAAGGAGAATCAATCAGCTAGCTATTAAAGACTCTCTCTCCAATCAGCTTTACACGTGGCTGTTCCCCATCGAATTAGTCTGTCAGTTTGTTAGAATAGCTTTACACGTGTCCTCTTATTAGATCAGCATCTTTTTGCTTGGGCACCAAGTATTGCCTGTTCTCCCTTAGTATAAATATCACCTTCCAGCTTGTGGAAAGGGATCGCTTTTTCAATACACTTACTGTTATTCTGCCGGATTGCATACCTGTACTTTCCTATCAGTTCAATGTCTCCTTTTAGTTGGATTCCGACCACTCCCGGTCCGATAATCCATCATGTTTTGGTGCTTTCATTGAGAGTTGAACTGTGAGCAGGTCAAATCCTCCCGATTCGCTTCAGATCTAAAGTAAGCTTTTCAGCAACTATGGTTGGAAAGAGAATTCTGAGAAGTCGACATGCCGCTGCCAACGTCACACAAGCGGAACCTTCACTGGAGGCTACCGCTACTTCTGGCGCCAGGAGGGCCGCCAGGGGAAAACAAGTCGCTGAAACTTCTGCTGATCTGCGTAATCAGATTCAGCGTGCTTCCGCAGATCTACGTCAAAAGCTCTCGCTTAATCGGCATGCAGCGGCAATGCCATCCGCACAGGTGATCCCACAATTCCAGAACCTTCTGATGGCGGATCCCTCTGCGGCGGTTGGCGCCCTCATCTCGGGATTGCAGAAGGTGGTCCCCACGCTGCAATCTCAGCCAGCAGCTATTGTGGCTCCTCATGCCACTAGGCCTATCTCTCCGGCGAATTCCAGATCCCGGTCTCTGAGAGTAGGCTCTATTGACGCCCCTTTGGTGGTGGAGAGACCATCACATATGGTCTATCAATCCCCCCCTCGCCAGAGGGCAACTCCGGGGATTAACTCTCCCCCGATCTGCCAGGTGGCTTCCGCAGCACCTGTGAACGCTATGCCCCTCGCACAGCAGACGGGAACTTCTCGTTCCGCTGCGGCACCACGAAGGATTGAGCCACCGCCACCTCCCACATTGCCGTCCAAATACACGGCACGCCGTGTTGACTACGGCCGCCATAATGATGAAGGTGTCTATGCTGTCACCATTGAGGACTCTTCACAGTCCCTCTCCCCGCAGGGGCAGCAACGGGACGACAACCCCAATCCCTGGATCGAAGTGGGAAGGCGTCCCATCTTCTCCAGATTGGGGGAAAGATCCATGGCGAATCAGCGCCTGTCTGTCAACATCCGGAGGATTAACCGGGCGAATTTCCCACTTCTCAACATTCCCCAGCAGCAACAGCTTGAGAGAAGGACTCCAGAGCGTGTACCCGCTTTGGAGAGGCTAGGGGGCAATCATTCCCCTAGATTCACCCCCCCATACCACCAGCAGATGCCTTCTCCCCCAAGGCAACATCGCACTTCACCACTACGCCAACAACAACAGCTACCCCTGCGTCAGACAAGGCTCTCACTGCCAAGGCGGCAGGTTGGATCTCTACCGTGGCGCCAGCGCCAGATGGACCCCAGGGAGGAACGGATCCGCCTCCTGACTCAACAAGTCAATGAGCTGCGGGCTGCGGGAGTAACAACAGCACCATTGCCACCGCCCCAACAGACGGCGCGTGATGCTCAACTGGAAGCGCTAGCGCTCCAGGTCCAACAACTCCAGGCCCAGGTCAACCAGGAGCCTACCACGGTGAGGGTAAGGACTGCTACCCCCTTTACCACACGGATCATGCAGGCCCCTATACCCCCAAAGTATAAGGGGCCCAACATTCAACTCTATGGGGGGTAAAACTGATCCCCATGAGCATTACATTCGCTACCAATCCGGCATGTATATGCTGGGCGCTGGCGATGAGTACATCTGCCGTATGTTTCCCTCCACTTTAGAGGGGGAGGCATACGATTGGTTCAACGATCTCCCCGATGAGTCCATTGATTCATGGAGAGAGCTAGCTACACGCTTCCTCACCCATTTCGCCGCAAGGGCAAGGACGAAGAAACATTTCTCCTACCTGTTGTCTGTTAAGCAGGGCAGAGATGAGCCTTTGGGCAAATTTCTCGAACGGTGGAATGAAGAGACCTCCAAGGTCTATGGGGCTGATGACAACACCCGTCTAGCCATGTTGCAGGAGATCCTGTGGGCTGGTGGCTTCTCTAGGAGCCTTATCATTGATCCCCCGCGGGACTATCAACGGGCACTCCACTGCGGGCAGAACTATGCCCTGGCGGAGGAAGTGCACAGCCGCAAGAGGGCAAAGGAAAATGCTGCCAAACCTCAGAAACAGGAACAGAAACAACAGGAGAAGCCAAAGCAACCGCGAGAAGAAAACCCCCGCGAGGATAGTGATAAGACCCGGAGCAGGGGTAATTTTAGAAGCAGGCGCCCCTGGACTGGTCCCAAGCTTCTAACACCTGAGGTTCTGACGCCATTGACCCATTCCGTCAGTCACATTTTGGAGGCTGTTGACCAGGAAGGGTTAGTGGTTCGGGACCCGCGAATCAACGAAATCCAGCAAGGGGACAAGTCAGGCCCCTACTGCAAGTTT